AGCCAAAATTTGCTATCCATCCAAAACATGGGCTTTCCTTTGTATACGTAAACAAACGTTTTTTTTTTTGGATAAATAACTCGCAAAGAAAAAAAAAAAACTCAACCAAAGCTTCAGCCCTTCCAAATGGGGTCTTTTATTCAATAATGTAAAAAATGTAAACGTTCAGGTTACTGGATATAGAAGGGGGAAGCAGAGAAAGGCCTAGCTTGAACTTACTAGGTATCCTAGTAAGGAGTTGCTTTAAAATCAGTGTCGTTTTAGTTTAGTGTGAAGTGTAAAACCATAATGTCAGATTGGAGATAAATTACAAAATGTCATCAGGGTTTACGTTGCATTTGGATAAACTTCAGATTTGTGCTTTTAAATACCAAATATATAAATCCTAATTTTAGGCTTTTTATTTTGGAGTTTGAAAGTGTTTTTGGCTTAAAATTGATATGTTTTTTAAAACAACTCTTGCCAATTGCACAAAACACTTTTTATTTCAATTTTGTTTTCAACAGCTCAAAACTCAAAAAGCAAAGGTTTATCCAAATGGGGCCTTCATAATCCAATGCGAACAGATGGAGAATTCACATCCTGTGAACCCATCGGTTCACGGGAAGAATGCACCCTCAAATACACTGTTTTTGAAACCGGATTGGACCGGAAAAACCAAGAATCGGTCAGATGACTGGTTCCGCTTCCCCCAAAAATCGGATTTCCCCTTAAAACTATTAATTTTAGTCAACAAACCGCTGAACTGGACGATTAATCATTCAAACGGTTTTGACCATTTTTTTTTTGAATTTTTTTGTTAGAACAGGCTGAGCATTCGGACCGTTTGACTCGGTAACCGGACCCCTAACTGGTTTGGTTTTAAAAACCATGCTCAAATTGGAAGATATATGTCGGCCCCTTGGATTGTCCGATTGAACCGGACACTAAAAGACAAAATCTCGAAAGCCCTCTTTTGGAACAATTTGGGAGCTCATTCGAACTCCCCTCCCATTTCTCTCGTTCGAACCATATCCCTTAGAGAAGACCATTGGTAATTTCTCTGCGCAACCAATGTCCGAGGGTAGGAAGAAGTTTCCTCTTTCTTCTTCTTTTTCATATTTTGTTTGCAACCAATCTTATTATTTATTGTCCAATTTTTCCATTTTATTCTTCCCACTAAGCTGTAGTTATCGGCGGTACCCTGGTGGAAGACAACAACATATCGGAGGTCTAAAAACAGGGTAGGTACTCTCTCTACGTTGCAACCTAGCTTCTTCGTATTTAGCTTGTACTTCGTCATTTTCATGCCAGAATGTATTGATTTACAGCGGTTTTCTATAAAACCAATTCTAATGCATTCATACTTCAATGTAGTGTTTTTGTTCAGGGCCTTAGCTGGTAGTCATTCCAGCAAGACACAGTGCTTCATCTGATTTCAAATGAGCTAGCTAGATTCAGTTATTTCATTCTTTTTTTGACAGAATCTATTGATCAAATGGTATTGAAGATCTGCGTCGTGGTCTATCACTAATTATGCTGGACTAAATTCAATTGATCACAATAACCTCTTAAGCAGTTGTCTTATGCATCATCTGAGGGTTAATGCTTGGCTATGGTTCCTTTGAACTTGATGGAGGAGCTGAACCTGAAACCTTCATTGGAGTTACAGTTCCAGAGGCATCAGGAAATTGATTTTGTTGAAGAACCTCCAGACGGAGGAATAATGGGTTCATGAGGAATTGACATGGGGAACCCTTGACTAGGGAACTCGAACACCTGAAGGTTGAACCCTGCCATTCTAAGCAAACTAGTAGGTCCTAGGTGGACAAGGGAACTGCCTTCCATGCATGGAATTAACCTGAATCAATTAGACGATAGCAAGCTGAACCGGAGAAATGGTATAGACGGTGGAGAAACAAACTTGCTTTGTTGGAACTTCAATTGGTTGCTGGTACCACCGATTTGGAGTTCAGGGTGTAATACTGACTTGGAAACCAATGAAAAGCAAATAATAATAATAATGGAACTTAACGCCAGTTGTTTCTTGCCACCGGTTGATTCTATACTGTCAGACATCAGTTGCACAGGGAAATCACCGGTGGTCTGCTCACTGGCTCAGGCTCGGCTGCCCGGGCTTGGATGAGAGAATGCATTGGGAGATGAAACGAGGCCTTCAGTGTCCGGTTCAACCCGATGAATCACCATTAACAGCATTCAGCCATTCACACATTAACTTGAAGTTAAATCAAATAAAGCGACGTGTTTCCCTCTTATTGGAGTGTGCACACTTTCCGTGAAACCGATGGGTTCACAGGATGCGAGTTCTATGCTCAGGATGTTGAACCTGAAACAAAAATATAAAAATAGTGCTCGAATGGGTATCTCCTGTGAAATCAAAATGCATGAAGGACAGTTAGAAGAATGGAGCCTATCTTCTTTGAGAGTTGATGGATGAATCCCAAAAATGAAAAACTGTCCTAATCAAAAGCTTCTGGCGTGATGAGGACAGCTTTCAGCTTTCAACACAACCCTAATTTTAGGTCCATTTGGGAGGACATAATTTCAGCTAGCTTAGTGGGATAAGCTTCTGTACGATGCTTAATTACCATTACCGCTAAAAATATAGCATTCGGGGATGCCGGGCCCGGACCTTGTGTGATTTTGCTAAACATCAAATGTCTTAAAATCCAATAAAGCAAAAACAAGGTCCAAAATAATCCTTCCTAATCGGGTGCATTAAAGACATGGACAAATTAAAAAAAGGAAAAAAAATAATAATAATAATTTATGACAGAAGGACAGTTCAATTCCTAAGCTTGGGATGATGGGATGGTAAATCACTAAATCCACCACACATATTCAATTCCTAAGCTTGTGGACATTTTACAAAGCCCAACCCAACAACGAGAAGTGAGAGGGAAACTGGTGGACATTGAAGAGCATTTGGAAAAACTGCTTCATGTTAATGTTTATTGTTTTGGCACCAATTTATCCTGCACGTCTGTCTGTCTGTCTGTTTCCAAGGACGGAGGGGCCTTGGTCTCTCGCATTTTCTAGCAAAAAGCATCAGATCAGACGAAGAAAAACTCATCAAAAATTAATAAAAATATTGTCTTTTTCATAAAAGATAAAACTGCTTCTTCTTGTTACTTTTTAATTAATTTTTTAATAAAAAGATGCGCCACGCCAGGGCCAGTTTATAAAAGTAAAACAGGATGCGCTCAAACCGCGCCACGCTTTTCTCCTTTTTGTTGAACGAATGAATGCGTCTTTCATCTCTTGTTGGTTTTTGGCTTCACAAGTAAAATGGGGGTTGGGGTAAATTGAATATACATACACGCTCAGACATGGACGACTTAATTTGCCTCGTTTTGTCTTGTCTCATTTTAACTCACACATATTATAGATCTCAGTATTTGAGGACTATTACAAAGTCTACAACTAATTAATATACATCGTGTACTTATTATAAAAGTTATGCTACACATTAGAATCTCAGCAAAACCCCTGTTCGTTCAATCATTTGTTGCCCTATTTGGCCTTTAAGCACTCTCTATAAGGCTACTTAGAAATCTATCTTAGAGTTTCTAAGAAACAAAGAAGAAGGCATATATGATGAGCTTAGCAAAATTGTCTTGAGGTTGGGGAGATCAGATATTAGAAGATAGAAGCCCCTTCTGAATGAAAGGGCTATCTTATTTATAGACGAGGATGTTATGCATGCATGGGACTCGAAGATTCTAAAGTTTGTTAAGACTCAAATCCCTAGACTAATTTCGCAAAGACACGTGTGTCATTGTGTAGACTGGGGTCCAACTATATATCAGCCTGTGTAAGTTGTTATATATTGTCACCTCTTCACAATCTCTCCACATGTCAACTACATAAGGCCTCCATGGATCACGTGTATTGTATGGAATTGTGCATCCCATGTCTGTGTGCAGTTCGTGAACTTTGATCTAAGTTAGATGGTTTGATTCAAGTTATTACCCATGTAAAAGTCTTTTAACTTACATTTAATTCAAAAATATATGCACATTGGATCGAAATTCTAATTTGGGCAGAGATCTGGGATCGAATTCCATTTGGGAGGTAATTCTTAATTTTTTATCAAAGAAAAAAAAGAAGGATTAGGGAGGTTATGGGTTTGGGGCATAGGCTACCCCTCATTATGTATAGACTTCATGGGCTTGTTAGCTGGATGGGCTGGCCTAGCCTAGTCTGTTTTCTGTCGGATTTGGTCCCAAAAACACTATACCTGACATTTTTCGGGCTTTCTTAAAAATGCCCAGCTCAAGCCTGAGCCCAACCCCAATAATATTATATCTAAAAAAAATATATATAATATACAATTTTGTTTTGTTGTTCTTCTCTTTTTTCAAGCCATGTTGAAATCTTTCTAATAAATTTGGGTTCTAAGGTAATTTAAAATAAATAAATCAGTTTAATTATTGAGAAAAAAAAACAAAAAAAAAGTCTTTTTGTGCAATTTACAGGCTAGGCTTTGGGCTGTAGAAGAGGATCGGACTCAGGTTCAAGATCTATAGACCCGATGATCGAATCAGGTTTGGACTCGTGGGCCTGAATGTAATTTGTTAATAACGAGGCAAAGTCTATATTAGCATGTGGATATAAATGTTTAAGCATCTTTATTGTTGTTTTAAAGTTTTTAGTGATTTGATATGAACAGGTTGTTGACGGGTTTTCAACAATTTTCTTTGGGTTTTGAAAAACCGAGGTATAAAAAACTGGAGTGCCACCCAGTTATCAGGTTTTACAGTCCAACCATCCAGTCTGGTTCGAATCTTCCAACTTGTGTAAACTTTTGTCTCTTTTGTATTTATTGGCAGTGCAAATTTTACATTTCAAAAACTGATGTAATATTTGTATCATTTTTCTCCTATCTCAATTATTTTCATCTGAAGTGTGGCCACATCATCTTCCATCAACCCATCAAATCAACTGAAACCAATGACTGTATAGCAGGCTGTGAAACCAATTTTAATGCTCCAAAGCAATCATAAAATGGATATGGCTCACAACTATTCAATCTCTCGCTTAGTATTTAATTTATACCAGGTTTAGGCTTAGGACATACTTATTTGTTCCACAGCCTTTACAAGTTCAGTTAATTTGAATTGGGTTTCTAGCAGAGAGAAGGACAACATTTTGCTCTGAATAAAGTAACTTTTTTTTTGAAAAATATCAAGGAAGGAAGGGCAATGACAATATTCTTCGTCTTCCTCATCCTCTCGTTCGCCCTCTCCTTCTCTCTCTTCTCTCTCTTGCTCTTCTTACTGAGACTGAAGCTCTGGTGTAACTGTAACGTCTGTCGTAGTTATCGCACCTCGAGCTGGTAGATTGAATTCGACCTTGTCTGATAACCTCTTTTGTGAGGACGTTGATTAATTGGATAGCCTTCTTCAGCTTTTTCTCCGACCCCAAATTCAACAGCCGCTTTATCTTCCAGATAAGCGGAGATAGAGACAACGCTCGTTGAGCTAATAATCTGGACGCCAAATCAAAGGCCATTGCGAACTCTGAGATGGGAAGCGATAGCTCCAGGCAACCGGGGTCTAGTCCGAACGAGAATCGACAAATGTTATCGAATGTGAATCTTCGAAACACGTCCTGTAAATCTAGCACGCGTCCTTTGCCGGCAGTCCACGATAAGAGCGGGACAAGCCGACGCTTGATCTCGGTGGTGACTATCTCGAAGGCGAATGATCTTATCAAGATGCTACCCAGCTCTAGACTCGCTAGTTTCCGCTGAAACTTCCATGTATCTTCGTCGACGTTGAAGATGCCACGACCCAAGAGGTCACCTAGGATCATGGAGAAAGGCTTTCCTTTTGGGTAATTTTCAAACCTCGTGACGTTATCCGGATTGGCTGTAATCGTGTTTCTGAGCACATGGACATGTATGGTCTTGCTAGGAGACTTCTTGAGGAGATGGGTATACCAGTCGCAGAGATTGTCGAATTCAATCGATCAGCTTGCGGTGAGATAACTACGACAAACGTTACAGTTACACCAGAGCTTCAGTCTCAGTAAGAAAAGCAAGAGAGAGAAGAGAGTGAAGGAGAAGAAGAGGAAGACGATGAACAGTATTTTGTTCATATTTTTGAGAAAAAGTTACTTTATTTTATAAAAATATTATCTTTTATTGATATTTAGGACAAAAAGATGCCCTTATAAATTCCTTGCGTCCTACCTTATTCCTAGACCCCCAACCCTCTCCTGCATCCATTTTCTTCCTTTTAAAGTGGAGACCCGTACTCCCTGAATAAAAAAGAAAAATGAAGTGGACATTTTGGTCTCTTAAATATGTCCATTTTACTTGTCACGCAAGAAAAAAAGATAGTCAAATAAACAAAAGTAAAACAGAATTTACATCAGCCCCCCTTTTGCACTTCCATGAATTTACACCAGTGCAAATGAAATTTGTAGTGCAAGCAAAGACATGCATGCAGCACTAGGTGCATTTTAATTGTAAAATAGTATATATGCGACGACAAATTACCCCGTTTTGAGATAAAGTACTGTTGAAAAACAGTATATTTAGCAAATGTGTTTGTGAATGCATTTTCATAAAAAGACATCTTGGAAATGGACAAATTCAAGAGAGTGGGAGAAATAAATTAATTAATTAAAACTGTAACTGGAGTTCATATTGGAGTTCTTCAGGGTAGAGGGATTAGTAATTAATTTACAATCTCTCCCTTGGGCCCGCAGATCTAAATCCCTCAATGGATCTGATCTACTTGGGCGGGTTGCTTAGTCATTATATAGGAAGTACTTTTGCTGGATTCAATTTGAAAAATGTGAAGAGCATTAATCAAGTTTATTAGTTAACTTTGATACTTGACTTTTAAGATGGGCTTATTTATTGTTCAATATAGGGGTGGATTCGAGCCGAGATCGGCTCACCAAAATAGTATAAGGTTTGAGTTCGAGCTCGACTCGAATCAAAAGTTTGTAAGTTCGAGCTTGACTTGATTTGAGCCCAATTTAAGAAAAAATATTTTATAAAAATAAAGATTATATATAAAAAAATATTTTTTATTTGATATTTAAAAATTAAAAATAAAAAATTATAATATTTTTATTATATATAATATTTTATATATATATGAGCTTGACTCATTTATTAATCGAACTTATAAATTAGGCTCAAACTCAACTCGAGTCTCGATTAAAATCAAAACGAATCGAATTCGAGTAGCTCGTGAAGAGCTCGAGTCGTGACCACCCCTAATTCAATACAATTGAGGGCCCGATCTCGATCGATGGAAATTGAAGCTCTTTGGCTAGTACTGGAGAAGGTCCACTGCATGTGCACCATTTATAATTTATTCCATCCTTACCTGTTGTCTGATGGCTTCATGAATCTTCATTCCCAGCCGGCTCCGAATGGTTTGGTAAATGCTTTAACTAAGTCCAATTGAAATTAATGTACACGGACATCATTTTATTCAAAGGATGCATGCCACGGTTTAGCAAATATTTACAGATTGGATCCTTCACGTCAGGCACTAATGGCGCCGTCAGGTCTAATGACTGGCAATGATCCATAGATTGCTTCCAGCTGTAGCGTAGTAATTGTTTTGTTTTTCGTAACTAAAATTCCTGTTCCGGGCGGGGACTTGCAATCCGATCCGAAATTACAAATTACAAATTACAAACATGATCGTAAGGTACAGATGGAGAGCATCCAATTCATAAAACATTCGAAACAGACATTTGATAGTAAGCAGAGTTAGCAATATTGACGATGACAGCAATGATGACGATGATGCATGAGTTCAGTACACCACTGTTTCTTCTTCTTCTTCTTTTACGTAGTTGGTCTTTCGGCCGGTACGATATGTCCCCCCCAATTCCCATGGCCACCCATCTCATCATTCAAATTATTGTCTTCTGTTTGTCCTCCTCTCAATATCCTATCCCTTCCATTTCCCATTGCTTTTGCTACACCCATCTATATATGTGTATTTATTTTGAAGCCCATGATGATTTCAGTACTTCAATGAAAATAAGATGGGTTTTATTATTAGTTGCTGAAAAGAAAAGATAAGAAAAAAAAGAAAATTCTTGAGATGGAGTTGAGACATAATTAAGCAGTCGAATCAACTTGGACTGGGAATCTGATCTGATGGGAGTTAATAAGGGTGTCGGGGATGATCATCCGTTTGTGGGCACAACAGCAATCCAACCTTTTCTATCATGGCTGGATTGGCGTACTAATTAAGAGTTGACTCTTCTTTGGCTTTCCGCCCGCATTGACGATGCTCTCCAGTTGGGATACTCTCTCTGCCATTACATGTGCACTCATTTGTGGCACCAGCGACTGATTGTTGAGCCCTTTATCTTGCAAAAACCTAACCTAAAATTCAGATTTTATATACATAAAATCATAATATGAACTCTGGTGTAGATCATCATTTGAATCATTTCATTGCATATTTCCAAATTGCACAGAGCAGGTCAACCCAAGGCTCCATCATCAAACGGGCGTTTAGTGAGATAGCTAGGTCACATTTTCAGTGTCCTAGCAAATAATTCGCATCAACACTGTAACAGTGACCAGCCTCATCCTTGGTTATATAAGGGAGTGTATGGGAGGTGGTGGCATGGGTGCAGGAGCCTTCAGACTTCAAATTGTTGTGTTTTGGGTCGGTAGAGCCTGGAGTAGAAACTATCAAACTAGAGAGAGAGTAGTTTACCACAGCGCAGTTGTCAGGACTCAGAACCGCCTTTGAAAATACTAAATTGGTTGCGTAGTTTACGTACATTGGTGACAGTAGTTGTGTTTGTTTTTCCTTTTATCGAGTGTGGCTTCTCCAGAAATACTCCCCACTCCCACTTCTCCTTACCTACCGATCCGGCCGGGAGGCTACCACAGCGCAGTACCACCCCACCGTCTTCTAAGTTGTACTGTGGACGGAAATCGGAATGCGGATGGAGGTGGGGTGTTGTTCATCCAAAAATCACCCTTTCTTTTTCTAATGGATTATAATTTCTATGAATATTATTTGATAATCATCGCGATCACGAATGCCTTAACCTCAGACCTCACTACGAGTAGTCGTTTTTCTGTTTTCTACAAACCAACCCCATCACTGACATATTACGTCAGCCAAAAACAAAAAAAAAAAAGATAAAATTCCCACAGGGTGGAAATGGTTTTTCTCACTTTGTTGAAAGCAGGAAATATTCCCGAGAATATCGATGGATAAAACAAAAAAACACGTAAGAAACGGTCCTGTTTTTTTATGTCTTTAGGGTGATTCCCTACTAATTTACTGCGTGTAAGTCGTCCCAAAACCAAAAGCATGTTTTTGTTTTGGATGGTTCACAAAAATCACTAATCAGAATCAGATGTTAACCAAACTTCCAGAAACGATGGTCCTCTGGAGTCTCAAGTCCGGTGGACTGGCTCTGGCTTCACTTAAACTGAGTAATCTGATTTTTGGTTCTACTACTTTTCTGACTGCTGTAAAAACATTAAACAGTTGCATAATATTTATTGTATATTTTTTTAAACTGCCCAATTATATTATTTTATAGTAAAAACGGACGATGCCCATCAGGTATCAGATTTCAACTTTGAAGCTGATAAGTGGTCCCCGGTCGAGGGACCCATCCAGCGGCTTGGCTTGGACATGATAGTCTAAAAGACAGAACACGTGGCAAGTTCAAGACACCAGATGCCCAGACCTGATCAGCTTTTAGCATTTGATGTTGATGATCCCACAAGTACTCAGTTCCCAATGAACCAAGTCGCAACTATTAATTTATTTTCACAATGGAATTGGAAATTGAAAACCGGAAAGTGCGTACCGCGTGCTACAGAATTATATGAGACGAGCCATGTTCATGGGCCAATTGGGCTGAAGGTATGCCATGTGATTAAGGGATTAACGTGGCAAATAATTGGGGCCCTTTTCGGCCAGAATGTGTGCAGCCAAGTGTAAGATTCCCGGGCCAATATAGTCCGGTGACTGCAAGACTGGTCCAGCGAATCCGGCCCTACAAATTACGTACATACATGCATAAAAATCGTAAACAGTGAAAGAACTGTGTTGTCAATAGACTTACAGGCATGGGTGGTTCTGGTTCAAATTGCGTACTAGCTACTTGAAGTCATTTTAATATTAATTTAAATAACTGAAAAAAATAAAATAAAAAACTGTATGGGGTGGTTCAGGTACCACAGCCACAAGCTAGGACACTCACATGGCCCGCCACCACATTTTTGGAAGAATTTGAGGAAAAATCCTAACAATTGTTCAACCCTGTTTGAAAACATCCCTGACACCTCAGTGGGTGAGCCATCTATTTCAGTGGCCCACATTATAAAACTTCCAAGCGCATTCATCCCAGCCCTCTAAGGCATGGACTTTGTTTTTCTGACCGTTAATTAGCTAAATTCCATTATTGGGCCGTAAATTTTCAGTAACTGGGACCAGTTGATCAGTGGAATTGAACTATGGTCCATCAAACAACCGTCCGTCTCATGGTTATCGATGCAAATGAACCGTCCTGATTTAATTAATATACTACATTTTTATATTACAAAAAAGAAAATTATGGAGAGAGAGAGAGGGGGGGGGGGGTGCAAGTGTGACGTCAAGATGGCACATGGGATCCAAGTAAGCCCAACATAAGAGAAGGGCGATGCATGTGGAGGAGAAGATTGGATAGGCCGATGGGGGGGTTTACTTTAATTGAAAAATGAACAATAGGCAAAGAAAGAACATGGATGAGTCCACCACATTCCAATGGGGAACCCTTAAATTTCCAACTAATAAAGCCATGTGATATCTCGTTTTGGCCAGACTAAAGTAGTACAGTGCGGGACCCTCCAATACCACCAATCAATCAGAGGTTGGTGGATCCCCCATATTGTCTTAGATACACCCCCCACTACTCCTTAGAAAATGAAAGCTACCCAATGATTTCTACATCAAAAGATATGACAATTTAACCCATCCAACATATACATTTTTACCATCTCTTTGCCCATCAGTCTCTCCCTTATGTCTCTATAGTGAAACCCACCAAATGTAGGAACATCTCCCTCTCCCTTCATTAGCAACCCTTATTAATTATTCTCATCTCATGTATTCATCATCATCATCATCTCTCTCTAGATATATATACATACAGACTAAACTAAATTAAAAGACTTTCACAGACTGATCCTGGCCGGCCGGTTATCCACGGTTTAGGAATTATTTGTGAAGAGCATCATCATGTTCAATTCACTGGATGAATCAGAAAGTTACCAAGTTTTGATTTTATATGCTTGTGGCTAAGTTGGGACCATATGCTATGATATTTAATCCTTTTCAAACTGTCCTACTTGTCTTATTTTGTATTTTTATTTCTGATAATTAATAAACTTCATCTTCCGCTACGGGTGGACATTAAATTTCACTTTGAAAAGCTATATTAAAAAACAAAATAAAAGAAACAAAAGAATCAATGAATATGGGGCGAAAGAGGTACAGATCAGACAGTACCCACTTGCATTTGTTTTTTGTCTTTGTAATTTTTTTATATATAAAATAGATTGGATCTATGCTATGCTAGATGAGTAATTAAGATCATTTTTTTTTATCTATCAGGCTGTACTATGATCATATTTCATTCTCGTAATATATAGGTAATCAAATTTTATTGAAGGGGATTCCTATGGATCTTAAGCTCTTAAGAAAATGGTGTCATAGGGGTTCATGTAGCCCTAGATTACTGGCCCCACAAAAGAGAGAAAAGAGGGTTTTATTTAATCTTATCTGCTTCTTGTAATTCACTTGCTAGTACGTGGATTTTATCATCATCAATACTAAGACCGTTTATGGATCCTCTTATTCTCAGTGTTTACAATTTGATTTTGCTTTGCCAAAAGTCCAAGACAATGCTTGCAAGGAAAGATTTGAAGGTTTTGTCTTTATTAATAAGTTAACAGGATGAATGTGTATTGGCTAAACCAAATCCATCTAACTAATTAGCTTTTCCATTCCAGTAATTTAACATGATTTACCTAATTAAAATAACCTCAGCAATTTATAAAATTCTTTATAGGGTGGGTTTTTCTTTTTTGGGGCCGGAGAATAAAACAGGTTATATATAAGAGATTAATGTAAATAACAACCACAAAAAGCCTTACAGTAAGAAAAACAAAAAAACATTTTTAAATCAGCAAGACTGCTTGTCTGTTTATAATACACAGTCATACCCACAAGCTAAGGTCAAATTGTATTTTCATTATAAAAATGCAACAAGTGGAGGTTAACTAGCCTCCTCCAGAAACGTATACAAAATGAAATTAAAAAGTATGAAAGAAGAAAAAAGAAAGAAACAAGGACATTTCGTTGTGGCATAGTAGCATTGCACATGTTTAATAGATCAAAACTGGGAACAAAATTGAAAACAACGATTTCTTTTTTATTTGGCACATAATTGATTATACGTTTTTTAATGGCTACTTAGGAATTGCTATTCTTGATGGGGAGAGGAAAACCTGGAAGAGAGAGAGAGAGAGAGGGGACGTGACGAGGGCCATATAGAGTGTGCCAGTAGAGAGAGGGGCAATGGGATGAAGATGGACACAAAGGGCACAAAGACAAATAAAACCAGCTCGGAAGGGCTGGGGTCAGGGCTTTTCACTCCCTTCCTTTACTCCACTCTCAGGATAATGGATGGGAAAAGAGCCCCCTGATGCACGATACCTGTAGGTGGGTTAGGTAGCAAACCCTGCACCCCCACTGGACCCATCCCTAGATTCCTGCCCCATCTCTCTCTCTCTCTCTCTCTACCACAAGTGTGGTGGTGTGGCCAACCCATTTCTTCCTTTTCTTAAGCATACCCTTCATTAAAACAACACAAGAAATAGCACTACTAAGTCCTTTTCCTGAGAAAAACAACTCCCTTTCGATCCCTCTATTATGAAAAAGAACATCCCACTTCTCTCTTAAATTTTCAAATTGTGAATCTACCTGCAGAATCGACTTCTCTCTCCCTCTTTCTTCTTAAACTGACCCAACTATATATTTTGTACAAGGCCCAAAATGCAAACCTCATCTCCTACTTTTACTGTAAGACACTTTTGATTCGTTTTTTACACGATAATCTAGATAAATGACTCCTCCGATGTAGTAAGAAACTAACAACACATAATTCTAAATATGTAGTTCGGGCCTTGTACTAGAAGGTTTTCGAGTGTTACAAAATAACTGTTAGCATTCTTAATTTTTTAACGTCAGATATGAACAATACTTTGCAATTTTTTGTCATCAACAAATAAGAAAATAAGGACAACTTTCTTAAACTACCCCTAATATTTAAGAAATTAACAAAATATATGCATTTACTATTTCAATATCATCTTAAAATACCCCTACTGTTTCTGACCATTATTGCACAATTCCCTTTCCATTAACTCTCTCTCACAAACCGCTTGCAATGTGACCTCACATGTTTGATTTAATATTAGATTATGCCCAAAATACCCTTTAATGGTCGAAAATGCCCCTAACTTATGCACAAAGACATCTATTGTTCATTCTCCCCTTCCTCTCGACCACCTCTCAGACCCAAAATCCCCTATTTGTCCCTCTCCCTCACCGGTCTACGCTGGAGATAAATGGATTTGTATACTCAAACCATGAGACCGCTCTTCAGTGGCATCCAACAGTTGTCCTCAGGACTGGTACGGGATAGCTAGCAACGACTGAGGCTCCATGGCTAGTATCACCATCTTGAGCGGAAGAATAGCAAGTGGAGAGGCTCCATGGCTGGTATCATTGGCCCTAATGAACTAGATCGAGACCCCAACTCCCCACATCTACAAGATAATAAGATACCCATTTTTCACCAGAGTTGTGCATACAACGAGGGGGATGGTATCCACCATCTTGGGCAGAAGAATAGCAAGTAGAGATGGAGGAAGTTGGGATTTATGAGGAGAGGTGGGAGGGCATTCACCAACGATGGTGGAGGTGCATATCTAGAAACTCCCCAATCATTGGCAGTGTCATTTAACACTATCGTCTTTACCATCCCCGGCACGATTAACAACACACCATTTCAACTGTTGTCGTGTGATTCTAGTCCAAACCCTTTTGATATCTCAAAGCAACAGAGACATCTAGTCACAAATCAAGTAAAAAAATGCCACTCTGAAAGTCCAAACCCTCCTTCACTTTTCAATTAATTTGGGCGAAATGTTTGGATCAATCTGCCACTGTAGTCTAATCTTCCTCGATGTCACCTTGTTAGTGTAATCTAATCTTCCCTGGCCTTGGCCTTCTTTTTGTTGAATCCAATCATTTGAAGTTTGGGGGTTCTTACAAGAAACATCTCCATTCTTGTTGTGTTAAATATAGGGTCAAAATAATAATTTATTATTTGGTGCCCTTAACATAAGGGCAAAAATGACTTTTTGTATCTCTCTGTTACGATTTAATGATGACAACAATTGTCTGAAACAATAGGATAATTTGAGACAATATTGAAACAGTAGGAATATAGTTAGTCAATTTCTTAAATCATAAGGGTAATTTAAGAAATTTGTCCAAAAAAATAAAAATAGAAGTCCACTTCGTAAATGTAATGTAAAAGAAGGGAAGAATCTGTAAATTAACCTTTTTCTAAGACATGATACAGCATATATTCTATCCAACCCTTCTATTTAGTACATCTCTTTCCAATTGAAAATTTGCTTCAATGTCTCTTCCTTCCTAACCTCTTTTTTTTTTGAACAAAAAAGTTCCCCCCTGATATATACATCTTTGTCTTCTCTCTCTCTCTCTCTCGTTCCTCACCTCACTCTAATCCACTCCATCCTAGTCTTTCCTCTCCTCCTCTCCCATCACCATGGCAGTCAGATCGTCATCAGAGCTTTTTAGATTTATGACAAGAGTCTAAGCCATGACTTGCAATGGGATGGCTTTCTTCCAAGCCAATTTCATGCTACAAACTCCTCATGAAGAGGACCACCACCCTCCTACCTCCCTGAATCCAATTCTCCCATCATGCACATCTCAAGACTTCCATGGTCTCTTTCTCTCTCTCTCTCTCTCTCTCTCAATGATCTTTTTAGTTTGTAACAATTCCTTCTGGTGCTGCAGGTGTTGCATCGTTTCTGGGTAAGAGATCCATGTCATTTTCCGGTATTGACATGTGTGAAGAAACAAATGGGGAAGAGGACTTGTCTGATGATGGATCACAGGCTGGAGAGAAGAAGAGGAGACTTAACATGGAACAAGTGAAGACACTTGAGAAAAACTTTGAATTAGGTAACAAACTTGAACCCGAGAGGAAAATGCAGCTGGCTAGGGCTCTTGGTCTGCAACCAAGACAAATCGCCATATGGTTTCAAAACAGGAGAGCAAGATGGAAGACCAAGCAATTGGAAAAAGACTACGATCTCCTGAAAAGACAGTTTGAAGCAATTAAGGCAGATAATGATGCCCTCCAAGCTCAGAACAAGAAACTTCACGCAGAGGTATGGATTTTCATATTTATGAACTGTGCACGAGTGCATCGATCAGTTCTGTGGTTGTTTACATATTCTTGAACAAGATTAGTCTTTGAATTTTGGGTGCATTATGGGGAAGGGAAATTTACAACTTAATTTGGTTTCGGTCTCTGTTACTTTCTCTTCAAAGTCGGTTATACCGAATTTGATTTTGAAGTAGATTTTAGATTGTTGATTTTGTGGGCAATGATGATAACATCGAGGTTTTGTAATTGGGACGCTCTGGATGCTTTCTGATATGTTTTGTATTTTTTTTTTCAAGTAAATCTTAGGTTGTTGATGTTTAGGAAGGATAATTTGCAAATTTTGCATGGGACTGCGTTGATTTTTTTTTTTTTTTTTTGGTCACTGGAAAACGCTTTTCACTCAACTTTTTCGGATCAATATTTCATAATTTCGAGAATACTAATGATCCTTAAAAAATAAAAAGAAGAAGAAAGGGAAAGAAAAAAGAAAGGAAAGAACAGGAAAAGAAAAAGAAATAACACATTATTTTCTTTGTTTTGCTTCTTTGCCGCTTTCTATCTTTTTTCCTTTTAGTTTCGTTTTCTGTAAGTGGATTAGTTGATCATGAGTTTGAAGAATCATGGTTATTCTCAAGAAACAAAACCAATCCCGACACCCATATATTTTGGTGGGTTCATATAATACAAATTGAAATAATTATATATGGTAGTTTCTTTTTTTCACTGTAAAGGCGACTGGAATGGAATTGGATCTATTCGATTCCTCTTTAACTCGTTCTCTACTTTTATTGGTTGAAATAATGGGTGCAGATATTGGCTCTGAAAAGTAGAGAACCAACTGAATCCATCAACCTCAACAAAGAAACGGAGGGCTCTTGTAGCAACAGAAGTGAGAACAGCTCCGATATCAACTTGGACATCTCAAGAACACCAGCAATTGACAGCCCCCTATCCTCCCATCACCCGAGTAGACCTCTCTTCCCATCATCCATCAGGCCTGCAAGCGTTGCCCAACTCCTCCAGAACTCATCAAGATCAGACCTCCAAAACCAGAAGATGGAACAAACTGTTCAAGATGAAAGCTTCTGCAACATGTTCTGCGGCATCGATGACCAGCCTGGATTCTGGTCGTGGCCCGAGCAGCACCATTTCCATTGAATTATGTCGAAACATGTCCAATTGGCAATTCGGCGACGGCGAGTTTAAAGAGAGAAACTATGCTATGCCATCAAGCTTGAACTCAATGTCTTAATCTTAGATTGATGTATAGAATAGAAAATATTCCACTTAAATTTCAGTTGAGTTGAACTGCACATTAGTTTGAAAGGAATAAAAGCTGTGCGTCTTTGGATTACTTCCATCTTCTTCCCGGTATTTGAGAGATATTGTGATGATATTGGATATATAATAGAAGCAGTACTCTAAGTAAAATAATTAGATCAGATCTATCTATTAGTGATTGGCTTCTGCTCTAGGCCTCTAGCTAGCATGAGACAAGAATTAAATGAAGGTAGACTCTCTTACCATGTTGTTCCAATTTTTACCAGAAGTCCCTTTTCACCTTCATCAAAGTAAAAGAAAATTCCAACAAAGGCATTGGAGAAAGTTCCTGTCAATTTATGACTATGATAATGGTAATGTAGTCCTCTTTTTTTTTTTAATTTAATGAGCACTGTGATGATGTAGGCTGATGGCTGTACCTAGCGGATGATGAACAAAATCCAGTGTGAAAGAAAGAAGAGAGCGAGAGAATCGATGCACGCATACCAAGATGGAAGAAGACAAACAGAAGATGGAGGAGAAAACGAGGAGAGATGGAAGGGATCGTTCTTGTGAGGGTGACGTGGGTAATCTCCCGCTGTAAAGGGAAGGTATCCATGTACTCATCTCTCCCTCGTCCGTCGTCCGTCGTCCGTCGTCCCTCCCCTCCCTTGCTGCTCTGAACTCTTGCTTCTTCTCTGATAAGTGGGCATGTGATCCTCTGTCACTCCCACTCCCTGCCATCCATTTCTCCTCTCCTCTCATCTGTTTAATCTACCTTAACAAGTACCCATTCTTTTAATACAGTTGCTTGTCTTATCGAGTGTCCTCTTAGTCTCCTATTTCTAAGACGATTGTCATACTGAGGATCTGAAAAAAAAGAAAAAAATAAAGAGAGAGTTTACAAATCATCCAATCATTATGTGTGGAAGTTGGAAGACAATCGATTGATGACAGGAAAAATAATAAAGCAAAAGGGAAAAGTTGGTTGATGCATATATATACAATTTCCTCCTCATTATAGCATGAAGTCATGAACGTATGGGAGCAAGTAATATTGTGACGAGGTTTCGCCAAACCGACTCAATTAATTCTCTTCTTCAAATAATTCTTACTTTGGAATGGAATCATGGAGCGGGACTCCCCGGCCCCAGCAGCCAACAAAAAGTAGTGTAGAGGTTATAGTATAGCTCATGCTGTGTAAACCAACCAACCCCCAAAATAGAAAAAAAAAAAAAAAAAATCGACGCGTACGTAGTGTAGTGATGATGATCGTGATGATCCACTGTTTGTTCCATTTCCAGCCAAGTAAATGAACATAATGAGACGACTGCATAGTAATGATAGTATGTATTAGTATCGTAACGCCATCGAGAATCTTTAAAAGTTGCTTGCACATATCTGTGAGTGCAATCCTGTGGAGTGTGGACCCTTCGGTTCACGAGAAGCGTGCACCTGTCAATAGGAATGAACACATTGTCAGTGTAACTTAACAGGAGTTTAACGAGGCTGCTCGATTAACAATGGTCCAACTAATTGAACCAGTAGTCACTAAAAGACAAAAACCTAATAATACTTCCTTTTTCTCATTCGAATTCCCCTCCCACCCTCTCTCAACGTACTGTAATTAGACCACCGGCCACCACCACAACTGACATTCAGTGTGAGGCATCAACTGACTGACGATCAGAGACTAATTGTAAATTCTTCTTTTCTTTCTCTTCCACCTTTTTCTTCTTCCCCTTTTTTTCTTCTCATTTCTGTCGACAACAATCCTATCAAATCTAAAGGCCGTGTCCCGTAATTCCAACACACTCTGGCTGATCCAACGACAAGGAATCAACTGCTATCAGTTTCTATCGGAGTAAAGTAAGCCTAACCTTCAAAACTAAGATCATTAAGTAGGTTGAGCTCTGACATGTGAGGGGGAGAAAAGGAAGGCATGAAGAAAGCTAAATTGCTACTTGAGGTATATTAGGAGAGAAAATCCATTTAGGGACAATTAAAAAAAAAATCGTTTGTTTGACATTACTTTCATTTCATTCTTTCTCCTATTCCCTATACAGCAAAAAACCAACAAAACAAGAATAGGGCTATCAAAACTATACAGATAACCCTCATTTGTGGTAGCTTTAAACAATTCCCCAATCCTCGCTAAGTACAAGTAGATTTTCCAAGAGCACTTAAATGCTTGAAATTATGGATCGAATAATTCAAGAAGCAATCGGCTATAGCACATTTACATGAAGTTTGGATTACAGTCGATCTAATCCTGACACATAGAAATTGGTAGCAAAAGATTACCTCAAAGTTTGAATACTAGAGCAGAAAACAGTGACCTCACAAGGCATGAAATCAGCTAATATTTCGGTGGCAATGCAAGAGCGAGTATTCCAATTGATTTTGGCCTTCTTCTTCATTGTCTTAGAAGAAGAATTGGATCGTCACTATCTGCGCTGCACAATTGCAACTGGAAGGCATAGTGTAGGTTTTGATGCGTAACTTACGAGAATTCACCCCTAAAAACTAGCTGTTAGAGGGAGAGAACCCAAGCACATATACACCCCACAACAACATCCCATTCTACCTATGTGGGGTACCTCAAATTAGCATCCCATACTACCAACACAAGACAACTGGATCGTAACAAAAGACGATAGGATGGGAGTTGGAATGAGAGAGGAAAGTACTGTTGGGTTTCGCCGTTTATTCACTTTTCTGTCTTTTCGGTAGCTGGTTGGACCAGCCTTAACATAGCATTTCTGTTAAATTCCTATTAACTTAAGGTGACGTGGTCATTTTTCATTCGCAGATACACACTTCATGTGAACCAGAGGGTTCGAGCTCCAAATCTGTGACCTAGCTTTACCGAGTAAGTCATCGGTTACCTTGGTCACTGAATGACCGTTTATACCACCAATGTACTGGTAAGTATTCGGAACAGTAGTGAGCAAATAATAATCAGGGATCAAATATAGATAGATTACAAATAACAATCAAAATAATTCTAGGGTCTAGCTAAAATATACACAACTTGTCTAAGATGTCCACAAACTACTTTTTTAAAAGCATTTGCAATGGACCAAGGTGCACCTATGCCATTGTGTGTTGATACAAACAACAAAGAGCTATTGGACTTAGCTTGTCTCGCCAAAGGTAGTAAGGAAGTATAGAAAGAAGGAGAATTAAATCTAAGAGCCCTAATATATATAGTTTGTACTGTGGAAGTCTTAATTAGTTAGTGGCTGTACAATTAATATAATATTACCTTAAACAAAGGAACAAGTGTATTATTATATTAACATCTTAAGAGTTAAGACACCCAACACATGAAGAACCCAAAGACTACACAATGGATCCCTACATGCATGTGATAGAAGCTGGTAAATCTCCTTGTGACGTAGAACTAATTAGACAGAGCGGAGTCACGGTAGAGTCTAGACATGTACATGGATTGGTGAACCAAACCCTTGATCCACCGAGCATGTGATGGTGGTTTAGACACGTGTCAGGAACATGGGTCTGAGACCAACAGACGTATTGGAGAATTAAGCATTAAACTAGTGTCTATACTTAATTAATTTAGAGAAGTCGCACAACCCTAATTAATTAAGCTAAAATTAATGGACCCAATTGAGTGGTCACATATATATATATATATATATATATATATTGTTAAGTAGGCGATTATTAGAATATTAGATTATGGTGGATTGGAATAAGAGAATTCCCCGCATGTTTGTGATTATAGTGACAATAAAACCAAGAGAGCATGCAGCTGCATACATCCATGGTGGGAGGTATCCTGGATTAATGTGCTGTATTTCATTGTTTATATGTGGTCTTAATTAAGATGATTCGATCGCCACTTGCATAACCAAGACCATGCATGGGATAACTATATAATGAGTCTACGGCTTATATATGTTTTGTGTATTTTTTTTCTAAAGCAATAACTGTCAGGAAGCAACCCAATGGGCCAAGAACAATTTTGCAACAGCTAACTAAGGGACAAAATAAAAGGGAAGCTATATACCCTTGGGCCTTTAGTTTGGTGACGTACGGCTTCACCTAGTTTCTCTTTCTGATTGTTGTTTTTACTTGATCAAAGTTGCCGTTGAGTTCCGAGGATCCACTATTTTGTGCTTTAATTTCGAGGGTTACTTTCTGAGTTTTGAACAAGCTTTTCTTTCCTGATCATCACTCCCTGGGTATATATATATACATTGGTCCATGAACGGATTAGTGGCTGTCCTATCGTGAATTAATAATGAGGGCTTTTCTCAACGGGTCAAGTCCATGCCAAGCATGTAGTATGTATGGAGAAGACGGACAGCCCAACGCAGATTTTTTATTTCCACTGTATAGTTATAAATATTCAAAATGTTAAAAATCCCATTCTGTCTGTCTGTGAATTGGAATTAATTCTAAGCTGGTATTCACCCCAATTGTATTTTAGGCTTAAAAATTTTGACCCTAGGCTGAATTGTCATTCTCCCTAATATGTATGTACCTCAAAACTGGCCCTTATACTCTAGTTCTGGGATGAAATTTTTATTAAGTACTTTGCAACCCAATGCAAAATTCTGAATGATAGTCCCCCATAGTCTATTAGTAGCCCCCCCCTATAAACTGCATCCTGCCCGTAAATTTAGCATCAATTCACGGTTTGGATTCATCCCCTGTATAGTGGGACTACAAAATTCTAACCTGGACCGATCAGTTATTCTCCCTTTCTTGTTTGTTAGATACTAGCTAGTAGTTTGGTGAGTATTGGTCTGGTAGTTGTACCTAATTAACCACATATGCATGAGTTTCACCAAACTGATAGTACTATATAGGGTTGTTCATAACAAGACCCAAACCGACCTGACCAACCCAGTCCGATCCAACCCGAGTTAGCCATTTTTTCTTCAGCACCGGTCGGTTTCGGGTTACAAAAAAATATAAACCGATGGTTCAGTTCGGTTTTGGTTTTCATGTGTGAAAACCGAAACCAAACCAGCCTGAACCGACTTATATATATATATATCAGCTTTATTTCAAAAATATACATATTATATATAAAATTTCTAATATATAAAATATCATTTTTAATTTCCAAGCATCCAGCCTTTGCTTTCTTAGACTTGAATCCTTAACAGTTCACACCAAGAGAATCATTCACAAAACCGACTCAAACTGACCCAAACTGATTCAAACCGACCAGGTTGGTTTTACTTGGTACTAGGTCGATTTTGGTTTCATTTCTAGGTAAACTGACTAGGACGGGTCGGTTGGAAAAATGCCATTAATATGTAGACAACAATTGCATCATTTAAATAATTACAAAATATTATTTTAAATATTAAATATTAAAAAATTATTATTTTATTGATAAAAATATTAAAAAATAATATTTAAATAATAAAAAAAGAATTGAGAAGGAGAACCATCCGACTTGTTCTAGAATTAACATTAAAAATTATTATTTTATTGATAAAATATAAAAAATTTAAAATATAAAAATTATTAAAAGATTAATGAATTTGTATAACCAATCAAAGCTAGAAAGCCACCGAGAATTTTGATGATACCACTCAAACGATGGAATTACTTTTATATTTCATGTATAATAAATTTGACGACTCCTAATAAATTTAGGCTCAATTTAGGAGTATAAATATAAATATGTAGAGTGTAAAACTATATATCTTATATGTATTTATAAAATATATTTATATTTATACTCTTTGCAAACTAAGCCTTAGGCTATATTTGGCTTAAAGGAAAAAAATAGGAAAAGGAAGGGAAATACAAAAAAACCTATACAAAATTTATAAAAGTTTCTATTCCATTCCCTACATTTTCCTTCAAACCAAACATAGCCTTAATGGAATCCTGAAACTTTTCGAGACTGATCAAATTTTAAAAGCCTATAGAAAGTTGAGAAACAATGAAATTAGAGAGAAATTGGAGGCAGACAATGAACAGGATGCACCATACCGGGGCCGGTCAAGTATTCTGTCTGGGAAATTTTGTACCCATCGCCACTCCGCATGTCACATCGTGATTATTGCAAGCGCATATATCTTCGGTCCAATTATTTTGTGTATTTTTCAGCGTCAAGTGGTTCAAATCAAGGCGTCAATTTCATTAAAATTGTGGGGTTGTGGGGGGGGCTTTGTGTGGGTAAGGACTAAGGAGCTGCATTCATCAATCAACCTTGACATATCCATGTGACCCAGAGGCCACAAACAAAACAATTAAAGCAGCTGGTAAGCGGAGGGAGAATTTGCTTCATTTGATAAGAAAGAAAAATAGTGAAACTCCTCATATTGCATTTACGTCATCCTTCTTATTACAGTCGGTTAGTCTATAAGAACGAGAAGGAGCTTAAAAATTTTTCTTTATTTGAGATGGAATGAACAGTTGGCCAAAAGTGAACACGTAGCTCATCTAGAGGAAAGGATCTTCATATATTTGATGAATGTTCAGATTGGCCGTATATACAAAGAATCCTTACAAAAATAGGTGGGGTGGGCTCATCAAAAGGAACCCTCGTAATCAACCCAACTATGAAATCTTTCTTTTTAATTTATTTCAATCTTCTACAGCTAAAAGGTGGGCATATATGCTTGCTTGGGAGGTAATACGTCTTATCTTTGTGATTTAACTTTTAACGTCTCTGTGGCACTATTAGCATTCACTATTTCACGTTCACTCGATGCTGTCTTAAAGCAGCAATACATCTGTTGTTAAAAAACAAAAACAAAAAAACAAAAGAAGGCACTTTTCGACTTTTAATTAGAAGTATGTTTGGGGTTATATATTACCATCCTCGAGAAAAAGAAGAGAAGAGAAAAAATAAGAAAAAAATAATTGAAGTAAAAGTTCTGCACAAAGTTTGTCAAGGAATTTTGTTGCTCCAATTTTCTGCTTCTCTCTTATATACTTTTTTAACAGACCAAACACAGTTACAGCTACAGGTTACGTTTGGTTTGACAGAAAATAACAATTGAAATTTGAGGGAAATTTCTTAACAAGTTTTTTGTGAAATTTCTAAGCCTTTGACTTTTTGTTTTTCTCTTTTCTTTTATCAAACCAAAAACAACCTAAGGGGCACACCTCAATCCATCCTTTTTTCGATTCTTTTGCCTTATTTATATTGTTTCGCTAATTAAGCTAAAGAACCTCACTATGATATTTGAGTGTTGCATAATTTGTATAAGCTAGAAGTTAAAATGCTAACTATATTTCAATATTTTTAGAGTTCACTTGGTTTGCAATAAGAGTTGCTAGAATGGGATTTCATTCCCAAGGGAAGGGGAGGAAATGACCATTTCCTCAAATGGGGGAATGTCATTCCACTAAGAATGAGAACGGAATTCCGATGCCTTCCAACCAAACAGTTGGAATTAGAATCAGAATTGGCTATTCTGATTCCTGATTTCAGACCTTTATTCGCGTGAACCAAATAGACCTTTAAACTGCATTTAGACTATTTTTTCTTTTATATTCTAGAATCTGCACATGGAGTCCTTTTCTTCTTTCGGATATATC